TTTCCAGATCGTCACTTAAAATGTGTCTAAGTTGTAACGGAACTCAAGGCAACATTATATTTTAACGTTTGTTCCAACTTAATATTTGGCCTTTCAATAAAAACAAAATAAATAACAAAAACATATGCATTTTTTCATCAGTTTCTCCTTTAAATAATTTTATAATTTTTCAAAACTTAATATAGATTAAATTTAAAATTGGTAATTTTTAATTTTTAATTTTATAGTATAATTTAATATTAATTAATTAGAATTAATTCTATTTTAGTCTAACCCTAACATTAAAGCATTAGATAATTATTATAACCAAAGTTCGTTGTCAAGTTTTTTGAATTCTTATATACTTGTATTTTGATTGGTCATTTCAGCTTACGTAACAGCGTTTCCCCTAGCGAGGAGGGGTTGATTGATTTGAACCTTTAAAACCCTTTGTTTTACATTCAACACCATTACTCGATAAGACACCAGAAGTGTTGAAACAAAATGGCTGTTTTTGTAGTGATTTCCTAACATATTTATGTTACAATTTTCGAATAAATAATTATATATATATATATATATATATATATAATTAAATGGATTAAGTCGAACAATTATTTAATATATTTTCTGTTTATACATTACTTTATAGATACAACTTATTTAAGTAATTGCTCTGTTTTGTTATTAAACAGTATTAATTACATTTAACGGTAACATTAATATTCGGAGAACGCATATTTTTCTACGAAATTTCTCGAAGATAAATAGAATAAAACGATAAATAAAATAAATAAAAATATGTATAAAATAACATATAAACAGAATATATATATATATATATATATATATATATATATATATATATATATATATATGAAGAAATATAGACTTAAGGTGTGCTATATTTTTTGGGATAAAGTGCTCAATTTCAGACATAGAGCATGTAAACATAAAAGAAACAGTTGCTAGACGCAATAGTCAGGCTACGATTGGTCTAGCATGAAACAGACTGTCGCCTTTAACTGTTGACTTCAATGATCATATTATATATATATATATATATATATATATATATATATATATATATATATATATATATATAAATGTCAATTGATGGTAGAGAAGATATTAAATTGTCTTAGCAATTGATGGGGAAAATAAATAAACTTCTGTGTGTCGAAATTTTAAAATATTAATTGCCTTCATAATAATAAAGATAATTCATGGCAAAATAAGCTGGCGCTATATTTTACGGAGACCGGTAAAATAAGCTTAAAAGGATGTTTGTTTACTTTACCGGAACCGACAAAATGGTCTCTTCCTTTTATTTTCATATCTGATATGTAAACAAATTCATTTCTACGGAATTAATGTTTTTGTTTTCTTTACAAAAATATTTCTTATTACTTTAAACGTCATATTTATTGTATATTTAGTTTATATGATAAATACACTGTTTAGGTAGACATCCTCATTTTAATGCCTACCGACCTGTACATTTGAAAATCTTAATAAAGAAAATATTCAACAACTGTTTAAACGCACTAACCACAATTTCGACATAATAACTGCCAGTCTGATGATTAAAAAAACATTCACTAAGAGAAAAATGCATTGAAAGTACGCGCATCTCACAAATCTCCAGGGCAAACTTCAAACGGGACTCATACAAAATAACCCCAATTATCCCAAAAAGCAATAATAGTATAATGCACAATAATAAGTAATAGAGAGAAAAGTGAGATTTTAATGGATTCAGTACGAATAAACAAAAGATATAATTGTTTTCTGCTCGTTGTATATAAGGTTGTTTATTAGTGTTTCGTCAAGAATTCCAACGTACCATCCTTACACACAAGTCTGTCTGACATTCCGACCTAAAGACGCCTACGTAATACTCGGAGGCGAAATACGTTGTAGCAAAAAGCTTTGGCTATTTTTGTAGTGATTTTATAACATATTTATGTTATAATTTTTTAATAAATTATTATTATCTATACTTTTTTTCGTATACTATTCTACATTCTACTAATACACACACACACACACACACACACACACACACACACACACACACACACATATATATATATATATATATATATATATATATATATATATATATATATTAAGCACCTCAAAGAGAACCTTCCCTATTCACAAGCACTCACATTCAGAAGGATATGTTCCAACAATGAAGGACTAGGTAAACACGCTCAAAATCTAGAACATCAATTCACAACACGTGGCTATAAACAACACCTAATCAGGGAACAAATAAATAAAACAATTTCCACACCTAAAGAACACACCCTAATGTACAAGATTAAAAATAAACCCAGCCGCATCCCTCTCGTAACCACTTTCAACCCCACTCTTCCTCCACTATCCCACATAATCAAAAGTCGCTGGGAAATACTACATCTCAAAACAGACCTAAAAAAATTGTTTGAGGAACCCGGCCTTCTAGCATATCGTAGACCTAAGCACCTAAAGGAAATTATAGGTAGTAACCACATTTCAGGGGACAAGGGAATCTGTAATAAACCAAAAACAAAAACAACAGGGTTTTCCTAACGATATAACAACAAATGGAGCTTATGCTGCAACCACATTAGACACACGAATTCATTCACTAGCTCAGTCACTAAATCTACTTTCAAAGTCTACCACGACTCTAACTTTAGAATTCATAACATAATTTACCTCCTAGAATGCACACTATGCCAGAAACAATATGTAGGAATATCTGAATGGCCCTGTCACTACAGAATTAATAATTATTGCAATTGAATTAAGTAGACCCCCCCCCATGAAAGAGTATTACCTGTAGAACAACATTTCCGCCTACAAAAACACGATTTTAAAATCCATGCTAAAGTCACTATAATTGAGAAAATAGAAAAGTTCGGAGCAGATAACATTAGAAAGATTTTAGAGGGGCATGAAAATAACTGTATTCGGCGCCTAAAACGTTCTATCCAAACGAGCTTAATCACAAATTTAACCATATAGATAAAATTAATATATAACCCCACAAATCAGGACCTATCCACATTATCACCCACACACGACAGGCATGTTTGCGTTGCTGTTGAGGCCTCACATTCATACACAAACCCATACGAATATACACACTTACACACATCATACTCACTCACTCCCTAATGAGCCAAATGATAACACACACCCATACCAATATACACACTAACACACATCATACCCACTCACTCCCTAAGAACCAAATAACACACACACACTTAACAGAGACATCCCTACTTTCCAGGAACTAATAAAACTGTCAAAATGACCAAAGGAATTCAGAGCAACATGAATCCATCCAGCTCTTATCTTAAATCACAACTTAAAAGAGACTCTTTGACCAACACAAGGATTGACGAAAATTCATGTTAAAAAAATAAAAAAACAAATGAAAACTACAGACAAAAGTTCATTTTCTCCATCGTCATTCATTTCTGTAGTTCACTACCACTAACAGGCAGAAAAATATTTTTTTCTCATGATGATGGCCATGTTGGCCGAAACTAGTCGAAGAATCTAACTGAAATAATAAAAACGAAATAATATTAATATACAACCCAGTGTGTCAGAAGATTTTAATTTTCTAATATTTTTTTATTGTTCAAAACATATCAAATTCTGATAGGGCTGAGAAACCCTAGTTTTATTACTACAAATCGGCTTTGAATCCAAATATGAAGGTGGGCTGAAAACTTCATAGGCTGACTATGAAGATCCATTATTGCTATCTTAACTATCATCACGCATAGAATTGGTGAGGTGATTGATAAAAAACATACTGAGTGCGATCGCCTTGAATATCACGAAAGCCATTGATAGTGTGTGATAGGCCATTGCTACATACATTCGCCAGCTATGACAACAAGATTTCGCCTTTATTTCACTGTGTAAACTGTCACTATCTGGCAAAAACCAAGGCATTTAAGTTAGATCCTGCAGAGGACTCGTGATTGGGCCTTCATTAAAATAGGTAGGGAGGAGTAGATGCGGTAGGCAACACTAAGCAACAATAAACTACAGAAGAATTTAAAATTGATCGCTGCATTTAAGTATTGCATTAATATTTAAGCTTACCTCTCAAAAGTTCAACGATAATTCTTCTGCCGCCACTTAAAACAATTTGATGTACGTAGGCCCTTACTTTGCGGGACGTGATCCGGCGCGGGATGATTTTCATTTGCTCACAGAGTCAGCCTGATTCCAAAATGATACGAAATATTGTGCTACGGCCACTTGGAGCAAAATTGAAAACGTGTGACACAGTGAGACACTAACATTCACATTTATTATATAGATTTCTACGAAGTTTAGTAGTTAGAATTATACATACGTCATTAGTCACAATGATACATTACAAGTCATTCCCCAAAATGGAAATTATAACTCAGCCTAATAGATGTTGTGATATTTTGAACGAACAAAAACACACTACTTATAATTGAAGCTATATACCAAATATTTATAAAAACGAGTCGAATTTAAAAAGATTTTCATTGGCTTCTTAATTGATTGATTCGTTTTCTATGGCTTATTAACCCTTTTTCAGGTTATTTAAAGCCAGGGAACACATTTAGTTTATAAAAATCTTTTTTCTTCGGCGATAATAATGATTTAGTGATACGCGTCTTACTAATTAATCCATAGCTCTTAGTGAAACGTTGAATTCATAGCCTTCCCAGTGGTATTTGCGCGTATGTAAATATAACGAACCCAACGGGAATTAGAAGTCAGCTCTCCAATTAAAAACTCCGAACCATTTTCCACGACACCAGCTGCGCATCCTAGCTTATAACACTTAATATTCCCAGATGATACTGACCAGTATCGACGTTACTTAACTTCGGTTATCGTAAGGGTTTTTATTGGCTGACTGGAAAGCAATATTTTGTATTTCTTGCTAAAAATAATGACGAAGATTCAGATGTTTGTAAGCCATGATGTGGTACTGAATTTAAACTTGAACGTTCAGTAGTGTAATGGCATTCCTCGTCTACCCATCGCTGAATATCTATCTATCTATCTATCTATCTATCTATCTATCTATCTCTGTATCATATTGATATTGTTCGTAGTAGGTTGTATTGTACTATTCATGGTTTTATTTTATTTCTAATGTAAGATTTGTTGAGTTAATTTGTTTTCGTTACGTTTTTGCCCGCAGGGTGTTTCGCAAAACATCTACTTATTCTCACCTTATATTTTCCAGGGTAGAACATGAGACCCTCTTGACGGAGAAGGATTTTTATCCTTTGCTCCCGACTGTGCCAGAGTACCTAGTATCAATCTTCAAAGTTGGATCACTTCATTTGTAAGATTGGCTAAACGCAATTTTATCCATATTTCCCCTTTTTAGCCGTGCGTTTATTAACAATAGCCCGACGGTTATTGCATTGATAATGATAATTTAATTTAGTAAGTTTAATGCTTACTGGATGCCTCAGTATTTCATTTTTGAGATTCAAAATAGAATAGATTTAGTATGACTCAATTTTAAATTTAATAAATGCAGTATTCTTTTAAGATACATATTTAAGATAGAGTGTGTATTATTCGTGGTCATATTTGATAGACGTCATGCGCGCAGCAGAATTAGACCGGAAATAGGACAAAAACAATGCAGATTCGCTAAAAACACTGGCACAACGAATGCTATATTTATGCCCAGAAAGATATCAGAAAGAGCAATACAAATACAAAAGGGTGTATAACTACATTCTATAAATGATGCAAAAGCATTGACATAGCACATCACAAAGAACCCTTGAAACTGCTAGTTAACCTTGACATAATTACGAAGGATTTTAGAATATTCCAGAGCTTATGCTAGGCATAAACAGCCTGCATATGGATAGAAAATGAACTCAATAAATATACAAAAATAGAAAGTGGTGTAAGAAAGATATGTGTCTTCGCACCATATACAGAAAGGCGATTCTGAGAGAAAGAGATGTCCTTCCAGGATTCATTATTGGCGGCTACAATATTAACAATATAAGATATGCAGATAACACATGATTGTCATTATCCTAAAAGCACATGGAACATGGAAGTATATTCTTGTAAGATACATATTTAAGATAAGAAATATCACAGATGTTGTATGATTTAACTATTTTCCTAATTACAATGAGAACATTTTGATCAAATTAATGAGCTTCTGTTCAAATTTCCTCGTAAATTTCCTGATGCTACTTATGAATGAAGGAGCCCAGAAGTAAACAGAAATACAGAAATCAAAATAACAGGGAGGGCCATACGAACTCGAACAATTCATAGAATTATTAGAATATTCATTTCAGATCTTCAAGCAGCACTAGGAAGGCCTGAGAAATCACCTTTCGAAATGTAGAGCTCAAAATAACAATTAAGAATATCTCTGCCATTCCCCCCTCTCTCTCTCTCTCCCCCTCTCTCTCTTTCTCTCTCTCTCACTCGCTTTCTTTCTCTTTTATGTGCCATTCTTCTTAGGGACTTAGGTGATCACGGCTTTCCTAAACTTCCAATCTGTTGCTGCTTTAATTAAATCTTGTTCGTATACCACCCTCTTTATGGTACTCGTTCTGCTATAGTTTAATGAAACTTGTCAAGTAGTTTGCCCGCTGTTTTCCCCTGCTCGTCTTTCTTCCTATATACGCTGTGATTCGTAAATTCTCAATAATAAAATTACTTGCATTGGTATTATTCATTGAATATTCGAAAATACAGACACTGATTGGAAGGTCTGGAACAACATTAGCTGGCATATAGAACTCAAAATAACAAAGATGAAGACATTCGTTGGAATATTTTAGAGAATAATGAAAATACATTATCTCAGAACTTGAGAATATTATATAAGCCATTGTACAGATATTTCTCAGTGATATCAAAATATAAGTTTATTAACCTTATTTTTATAAAAGGGATTGGTATCAGAGCGGAAGAGTTGATAAACCAGGGATTACAATTCCGTTGAATGTGCCAAGAAAGTTATTTTAATACACATTTGGCTCAATTTATATAAATATACCACTTTTCCAACCATGTCTATTCTACAGAGAATCGACTAAAGAATGGAGTTTTATTCGTTCTTCCATTTCCTTTATTTTAGCTTCATGGCGTCTTTCTTTCCACCTCGTTCTTATATTTCTCTACTGCGTTCTTTTTCGTCATTATGAATTCTATTTCTCTCTTATTTTCACCAACTCCTTCTTTATCTTCTTCGCTATTCTTTCTTGTCTATTCTTTTCTATTTTCTTTAATTTAATCACGAATCCTTTTCCTGGTCTGTTACAAAACTGCAAACTGTTCACAGTATGTTTTCTTCTGGGGTGGTCGCTCATTTATAACTGAGACTAGGTTCATCTTTACTCGGCGTGAATGGACGGTGAGAAAAATCCCACCCATTTACATTCCCATTTTCTCTCTATATATCTAATATCTCTTTCTCTACCATGTACTCCCAAATTACCTTTCATTTCTTTTCTCAATATCTGTCAATATTTCTGAGATGAGGTATTGTAATTATTTACATTATCTACATTGTTCAGACTATTGTCCTCGTTTTTATTGCCATATTCACGACATTCATGCCGTTGTACGCCCCGGCCTTTTTCAGATGATTGGACTTTCGAACTGAACAATTATTTCGTCCACCGGGCTAGATTTTTCTAGTTCCACGGGCCATACCTCTTCCGGATATCTCAGTTATCTCCCTTTAACTCAACTCTTCATGTTTTTTGTTCACCACTGCTGTAGCCAGGCATTGAACTCACTACACTTTGGGTCATGTCTCTGGATCAAACTAATATTTTTATCCACTTATCCTAGATTGGTTGCCATCTCAGGCTACAAAACCTAGTCTGTCCTACTATTTACCCATTTCTCTTTTATTGAATAATGTAGATGACATATTGTAGATGACATTATTTTTATACTGATCCTTTCCAATTGTCTAATTAGTTTCTTGATGTTCAGATGAAATTTATCAAGGAAGGCGATTTTGTTAACTCAAGTACTTTCGATCTTTTCCAAGGGGTAAATTACAAAGATAAAATTATTGTAACTGCGATAAAATCTGCATTCCTTTGGTCTTGGAAAAGATCGAAAGTATTCGGGTTAATAAAAACTACGGCGCATTCTTTGATGAATTTCATCTTAACATTAAAAAAATGATTTAACAACTGAAAAGGATCAGTCTAAAAAAGTAGACACAATACGTTTATATTATTCAATGAAACTTACTTGAATGCCTATATATATATATATATATATATATATATATATATATATATATATATATGCTGGAAAATAATCGGTTCTCTGTACCACTCATTAAGTCCCTGGCTCCTCCTGCTATTCTCTACCCTTTATAAGAGCAAAATCAGGCCAAAATTGAGTATTATTGCCATATATGGACATGAGACGATCAGTTTTCACTTTCCAGTCTAAGACCCGACATTCTACGTGAACCACTCTCAATACCTTCGTATTCCATTGCTGAGATGTCAATTCCACTCGAGCAGCTTCTTCCCCCGAACCGATGCTTTGTGGAACCGACTCCCAAGCTGATGCGTCCCCAAACACTACAGTCTTAAACTGATCAAATCACGCGTTAACCCATATTTTCTCTGATATTCGCATAAAATGTGCCTCTTACTTTGTAACACTCTATCTCGAGTGGCTCTTGGTCCTTGAATAGGATGAACATCATGTAAAAAAACAGAAACAGAAGAAAATATTACATATACATAATGCTTTCCCATACTAACTACTAAAAATATACTCTACTGGAATTCGAACTGGGAACGTTGATTCTGATTGTTGGTGACGATATCCGCTATGAAACCTTCTGACGCAAAATATACGTAGTTTGTTAAAAATTTATTTGTTTACCTTATGGAGGACCTGACGTGTTAAAAATAATCAGACCAAATCCTTTTCTACGAACAGGAATAGACTGCAATGGTGTCCATTTTTTCCCAATAGTTTGAAAGTAAATCCAGAATCCGTTATCAATGTGAGTTACAAAACTCTCTCCAGCACTCATTCTCGCTCGCTCACTCTCTCTCTCTCTCTCTCACACACACACACACACACACACACACACATACACAGATATATGTGTGCGAGTGCTCGTATGTGTTTGTATGTGTGCGTATGTTTGTTTGCGTTATTTTTCTCACATGAGAATGAAGAAGGAAAAATACAATCATACCGACCAAAAATGTGGCATGTGTTTTCTCTGAAATTGGACACGCAAGCTAAGGGACTCTTTCACATTTTTCTTCAGTGTTAAATTCAAATTCAGTGTTAGCCATCTCTCTCTCTCTCTCTCTCTCTCTCTCTATATATATATATATATATATATGCAAGAGTGGTGGGTGATATACATGTGTAAGTATATGCATATATGTTTATGTGCATCGGCGAATATATATATATATATACATGTGTGTGTGTGTGTGTGTGTGTATGTATTCGCTCATTCGATTCCACAGCTCTCTCTCTCTCTCGATCGATCGATCTTTCTTTCTCTGGGCCTTGACTTTCTGTAAAACATTCTTTGTTTTTTATGTTACCCGAACGAGACACTAACATCATGTTCAGTCCTTTTAGTCTTCTACTGGAAGTTTATTAAAATCATTCTTCCTCTTCCTCTCATTCTCCTTTCCTTCTCCTTCTACATATCTTTTCATTTTTCCCCTCTTCTTCTTCTTCTTCACCCCTTTTCTCTCTTTTTTCCTTTATTTTCATTCCTCTCTTCTCAGTCTTCCTTTTTTCTCATTCTTCCTCTCTTCGCATTTTCCTTTTCTCATTCTTCTTCTCTTATAATTCTCCCTTCCTTCTCATTCTTCCTCTCTTTTTATTCTTCCTTCTTTCACATTCTCTTTCTCTTCTCAGGTTTCCTCTCTTTTCACTCTTCCTCTCTTTTCAATCTTCTCTTCTCATTCTTCCCCTCTTTTCATTCTACCTCTTATCTCATCTTCATGTACCCACAGAAACAAACTGGCAACGTATGTCTGTATGTATAAAAAATAACATATATTTTAATAGATGACCCGAATCATAAATTTGCCGAAGAATGCAATTCCTGTACTGCTAGAGATACCAGTCCGATAAAAAAAAATAACATTGACGATGGCGAATCCTGTAATCCACCAGGGTCGTGGGTGTACCATATGTACTGGAGCCTTTACTGTATTGAGCGTCTCTAAGGGAAACTAACCTAACGGAGATAATCTCTTTTTACGGTGGTCTTGAATTCAGTGTTAGCCTTCTACACTTGTTGCTCTACCATGAATAAGGAGCCCGATCTGTCCTGTTACTGAAGCTTGAATTCAGTATATTCCCTTATTCTAGACTTGTTTCTACGCAGAAAATGACTGCACAGTTACTTAACTTAGTTGAAGAAAGATTGGGTTCATGCGTTTTCCAAATGTGATGTGAATTAAACAAACTCGGTTAGAATTTGAATTCGGCACACCGATTCTACCTTTCGTTGCCCCAATCGTACACAGGCAGATTATTTAATGTGTGTAAAATTTTAGGGGTTTAAATAAAATGTTAATGTTTATAAAAGTTAGGGGTTTAAATATCAAACGGAAAATCTTTAAAAATGGCAAAAGAAAAACACTATATTAGCGCTCGTTCACAAAAGACAAGCCTGACAAAACACCATATTAACGTTCGTTCACAAGCCTGATAACGTTGATTTGATCTTCAAATCAAGGGTTAATAGATATCTATCCTTCTTATACTCATAGTCTTCACTTCCTTTCATCTTCTCTTCCACTCATATCTCACATTACATTCCTCAATACCATATCAACCTTAAGCCGCTACCTTGAGTGACATTTAGTAAAATATACCCTCTGAAATGTTAAGATATTGAAAATTTCATTTTAACTGCAATTTATAATTCTATTATAATTGTGCTAGTCCTTCCCTAGTTTAGTTAGCACAACCTTTACGTCCAGTCAATGCCTCATCAGTAATGGACTATTTTTGATCGCGTGGAAAGCGGGGAAAAACATTACTTGGTTTCAGTTAGAATTTGAAAGAAAGATGAACGAAAGAAGGGAAAGAAAGAATTAGATTTGATAAGAACAGATACTGCAATTTGATCTTAGTTAAAAGTCGAAAAGCGATTGTATTTTTCAGTGCTCCTACGTCGCTGCTCTATGTGACACAAGGTCAGTCTTTAGAGTGGGTTTACCGGCAATACCGTAGGAAAACTGCCCAAGCCCCATCCGTACTCCCTCTTTTGGGAGCGCCTCAGGCATTAAACCCAGCCCCCTCCCGAAGGAGAAGTACTGCTTGGGAAGAAAGCCGAAAAGCGATGGCGACCTCTATAAAAACATTTTTCAAACACACACTATCATCGATCGATATAAACAGAGTAAGCAATCGTCAAATCTCCAAATACCATAAATTAAATTAAATAACCTCTGCTGAATTATTATTAAATTATTATTTAGAGAAATGTTCGTAAGAAGTTTGCCTCTTCATGTCCATGGCTCTCAGACTATTTTTCTTTAACAAATAATATATTCTACTCCTTGAATATCTTTTGCTCTCACTCCCAAACTTACAATCAGAAAAAGTATCACTAATATTTACTTTACATATATTCTTTCTGAATTTAGAGATAATATATTGTTATAATTTTACTAATTATTGCAATCAACATTCACCTGTGATATGTTCTGATTTAAAAGAAAAAAGCCGAACTTGTTGGCTCGAATAACTATTAGAAAAAGGGACCAAACATTTCAGTTTAAAAAATAAACTATAAAAACACTTTCAAACTCCTATTTTTTTCGGTACGTACCATTCTATTTTCTATTTTTCTTTCCGCACACATGATGATACCTGACTTTCATTCTATTTCAGATCTGCATTTTCTTCAAATAAAACAAGCCTCATTTCATTTCCTTCCTTCCTTCCTTCCTTCCTTCCTTCCTTCCTTCCTTCCTTCCTTCCTTCCTTCCTTTTCTTTCTTTCTTTCTTTTTTTCTTTCTTCCTCCCTTCCTTGCTTCCTTTCATCCATTCATTCATTCATTCCTATCTATCTTTTCTGGTCTTTCCTCCCTCCTTTAATACATACCTACTTAAATACTTACATACCTAGCTATCTATCTATCTATCTATCTATCTAATGCACAAATTTACTTTCTCTCAACATTTTTATTTCACATTTACTTTCTTCCTTCTTTCTCGCTTTCTCTTTCTCTGTCTTTCGCTTTTATCTCCTTTCTCTTTCAATATCATGACCAAACAAACTCTTGCATTTATATAACTAAATCACACCTGGTTTTTTGGTAGGCCCATCCCACTGCAATAGTCCGACTCCCGTGAGTTACAAACAACCCTGAACCACCACCAATGGCGTCCCTGTTTCGCCAGTCCATATCTGACGACGCATCTCTTAGATCTTTTAATATCAAATCCCCCGATTCTCCTCACGTATTATTTCTTTCTCCACTTTTTATTTGTGCAATGACTCTGATGGTGGGTGGGTTGCTTTAAGCAAACTTTGTAACCTGTTTTCATTTGCAGAATCCCAAATACCATAGACAGAGTCTCAAGTTGCAATGTACACATTTAGGAGAGCCATCTCGCTTATTCGTTTCCTTTATCAGGTTCGCCGTTTTCTATTTAGGGTCGACCTGTTATTAAACAATATATGCTACTGCTGCTACTGCTGCTGAAATGTTTTCATGTTGTCAATTTGGCAAAATCTAGCCATTTTGAACAAGTATCAGATTTGTATTATTTCAACCCTTTTTGGTCAGCATATATACCCGGATGATGCCCGTAAAAATATATTATGCTCATATTCACGCAGAAAAAAGGCTGAAGAAGAGATCTGCCAATGTAGAGGGTTACTGAATGAGGTGCGTGATATGAACGTGATTTAAAAGGAAGAAATAGAAATTGAAGATTATGAGTATTTGAAGGATAAATAAAGATTATCTCTAAAGTTGAAAAAATTAAGATTAAGTCTTCATGGAAGAGTGTTTCACAAAGTAGCGTTTTTTTTTAAGACTTGTCAGAATATTGATTGTTTGATTTTTTACGGTTTATCAACCTTTTGCATGTTATTTAAAGCCAGGAAACATTTTTAGATTATGAGAATTTTTCGAGATAATGATTCACTCGTACAATTCCTACTAATTAACCCATATCAGGGGAGATAAGGGGTGTATTCATACCTTTTCTAAAGGTATTTGTACATAATCCAATATAACGAACCCAACTGGAATTACAATTCCGATTTTTATTTATTTATTTATTTTATCAATTCACTCCAAGAAAAAACGACAATGCCACTAAGACGCAGGGGTTTATTGGGAGTGAAAGAGAATGAAAGGTTATAAGGAAACGGAAACCCAATTCTAAACAGGGAACAAGGGAGGAACTACTACTGTTCAAAAGATCAAGGGGGAGTATGAACCGAGCGATTTTCAGCCATAATGAATTACACCATCCGCACAATTAAGCTTGCAACACTTGTTATTCATAAGCGGTCACCTATCTAGGTACTGACTAAAATCGATGTTGCTTAACTTTGGAGATTCTACGAGAACTGGTGTTTCTATGTGATATGGCCGTAAACCGTTGACTGGGTAGAATATACTTCTTATCAATGGAATATATATGGGATGAGGGGGATTCAAGCCTGTGGACGTAGCAGGACAGGGCTGGGCAGGGCTGGGCAGGGCAGGGCTTGTGAATTTGTGGCAGGATTATTTATGTGCAAATAGACCCCTCGCATATTTGAGTATAATGTAACGGATATCAGTGTTGCACGTGGAATCAGTCTGTCGAGTTCAAATCCCTACCTCGTCAGCTGCTTTCACTTTGGCATTCGTGCCCTTGCGAAATGGAATAATAGCAGAGGAGGCTTGGAACTCTAGACTTAGATGGCAGCCAATCTAAATATGGACACTCTGAATTCCATCCGGAGGAGTGAGCAACGAAAAACTACTAGCAGATCATAACAAAAAGCCTTCTTAGAAGAACTATAACCGAAATATGGTATTAATAAAATGCGCTTCTACATAAGATCAGAGTGTATCATCTGTTCCCCTCCTCTCTGCCATGTTTTGCTTTCAAGTTGTTCAGGGAAAACAATGACGAAAACTTAATCTCAAGAAATCCTACTTAATTTCACTTAATTCAAATTAATCTCAAGGAAATCGGTGGGATTTTTAAGAAATAAACGTTCCGTTTCAAATAAACTTTCTGGCAGGAATTTTTACATAAATTCAATAAACAGAGTGAAAACGATTGGAAAAATAAGAAGTGTGCCGCTCCAAATAATCTCCGTGCCGTGAGTGAAATGTGAAATAGCATGTGTATTTTGTACGCATGTGTATTTTTCCATTGCATCGCTGTGGTTAATATCTGAAAACTTCAAAAATAATCGCCAAACAATTGTTAACTGGGGCAAGAAATGGCTTGTAATTTTTAACGCCACCCAAACGAAGCTACTATCCTCTAATCCTCATAGTGAACTATTTTTGCTTTCCATCAGCATGGCTGATGCTAACCGACAGGAGAAAAATTTATTGCACCTTCTTGGTTTCTTCTGGCACGAAATGGAGTGATTAATCAATTGCTAAGTCTTCTGTGAAGAATGTTGGTTCACTGTGTCGTTCCAGTCAGTTTTTCTCGTCACAATACATATTATACATTTATAAATCTACCATTCGTCCGTGCGTTGAATATTTCTGTCATATCTGGTCTAGTGCTCCTTGAAATGAAATGATTTAAAAAGTTTACATAAAAGCAACATGATGTTCTTTTTAAAAGATGCTTTAAATGCGAAAACTGTCCTCCTTTTGAGATATTTGTTCCGTCAAGAGACTTTGTAAATTTTTAAAATAAGGAATTATCATTAATATATGCCGTTCTATTCAGAGACGCACACTTATCTTGGTTATTATTCACACAATGTTTTCGCCATCGTGATTGTTGTACTCGGTAACCTCAGAATTTTGATCAGAACCCTTTATTCAACCCACTGGAGTCGATTGTTCGTATCCATTTTCCTTACTAAGGGGATAACTCAGTTTAGTCAATACTCACCAGCACTATTCCTGTTTGCACGTGTCCGGGGATTATTTTGCAATACCCGACCCAGGTACTGAACTCGCAACTGTCAGGAAGCCAAATATGCTTCTTATAAAATCTAGCGGCGTTATTTTGAAGCCTTAAATTTGGTAGTTCAATTCTTGAGTGTCTTTTTCTCTAATTAGTGATGTTCATCTTTATGCTCTTTCCACTGAGGAAGATGACAGTGACTAATATGAAGACTGATTCTTTTAGTTGTCTTATCATCCAGTGTTTTTCTGTGCTTATTATCTTCCTCTCACTCTACATGGGGTTGATAGCTAAATATTTCTCTTCATACATGAGCAGCTATACCTGATTCCAACATTTTCAGCATTTTCTTCAGTTATAGCAAACATATACATGAAATACTTAATGGAAATTACAATGGGAACAACATTCAACCATATGTCTTAGATAAATAAATGATATCGTCCATCTCTGTCTCTACAAGGGCGTTATGTATGTACTGCCAGACAACGTGAACCCAAGAAGAACTCGCACTGGATACAAGGAAAATGAAATTTCAAGACCAACTATCCTTCCTAAATGTATTGATTTGCACCGTGTATGAGTCAAATACATCTGTTTGTGGTTATCCATAATCAAGAATCATGTGCAGACAGTGTGGAAAGAAAGATTCTGTTGGTTATTTCCTGGAATCTTATAGAGAGCTGAAAGTTGTGAATGTGCTCAAAGCAACGGCATGTGTAACTATTAAAAGGAGTGAGACCGCGTGAGAAAGAATACAATAAATATTGTGCGTTTTATATTTTTATTTCTTATTCATTTATTTATTGTATATTAATTATTTTATCTATATTTTAAGATAGCTTTACCTGTTATTGTTATAAAAAATAACAATATCGAAATATAAAATGATTTTCTAAATGATGGACTCCCAAATGATGGACTCTCCCATCGATTTCGGTGTATGAAGATCTGTCAACCTCATTCAGTTTTTATGTTTGTGTCGTATGTGACACTTCATTCCCGCATCTGCATACAAGTCCACATATTGGGCAACAGCGAGGATCTCGGGAAATATTTGCTGACGCTTTACGCCGTTGTCATTTGTACTTTAGCCGATCAATTTCGATTTCGAAGTTTCTGATATCACTTTGGTATAAATATCTGTTGTATTTATGCAGACAACTCGCTCGAAGTTAGTATGAGGCAAATGACAGCTGACTGTTTATTCTTTAGTTTGTCTTTATACCTGAGCCACGGCCGTCCAACAAATTTTTGTCCCCTGTTAATCTCTCTGTACATTAGGTATTCCGTCGTCACTTATCCATGCAACATGACCAGCCCAGTGAAGTTGTGACTACATCTGGAAAACCTCTATTCCACCAATGTCGCATTTTGTGATAAGATCAGAATTGGACACCCTATCGTCAAAAGTATAGGCACAGATCGCGCGGAGACAACTTTTGTGGAAGACATCCAGCTGACTGATAAGGGATCTATATGTGATCCACGATTCTTAGGTATATAAGTGTGGGCAAAACGGCTGCTCTATAAACCCGTATTTTGGTGTCTAATTTGATATCTCTCGCATTCCATAGCCGATGGTGAAGCTTTCCAAATGCACTTGTAGCTTTAGCGATCCGACTTTTTATTTCGCCAAGAAATGCATTTGCATTCATCTGGCTTCCTAGATATGAAAATGACTTTGTGACGTCCCCCAGCCTTCGCTCGCTCCTCGCTTCTTCGTTCGGGTGTCGCCGCTCCAAACGTGACGTCCGCCTGTCTGCGTCAGTCGTGTTGTCCCGTCCTGTGACGGCCAACTGACTTGATATTGGTCGCGGCACCCAAATGTGACGTTCTAACCTTTTGGTGATTCGGATGGGAATCTGGTCAGATCCGATATCAGCCTCGTCGTTCCCAACTCGCTTCCAACGTCTGGTTACCAAAGTAACTGCGTTGATCTTCAGTCCGCCTACCCACGTTGTGAATTGATCTTAGGCAGACGAAATCGATCAGTCGTTGGGGCCGTAATGCAAGTTGAGTTCAAATGAGGGTGGTATCGCACAAATAT